GAGTCTTGTCAAACCACCGGAAGAAAGAGACAAGCCGGGTTTGGCTGGAGAAACCGTAGTACTTCTAGTGCTTCAGTTGGCCACGTCCAAACTGGTTAACCGGTGGCACTGGGCCATTTCCAGGTACGCCCAGTTAGCTTTCTTGATGGCAGGAATGGAGATACCCCTCCAGAAGGCGAAGTCCACACCAGAAGTACAACATAATGCACATCTGAAGATGTTGGATCACTGTCTGGTGAGTGGTTTTATGGGTTGCTGGGGCAAGGCGCTGGCGTCTGAGGATGGTACATGTGCTGGCTGCTGAGTACGGGCCACCGAAAGAGACCTGTGGTAAGACAAGCGATGAAAGGAGCCGAACTCCTAAACTTTAGAGTATGTGTCACTATCTCAGATATTGGAGCCAAATTGCCCAGCCGTGTAACGTGTGATGTGGTGTTTGGATTCGGCCTCAAGCACTGGAAGGCCTACAACAACAAATCCGAATGAAAACTGTGGTCCTCAGACACGCAGAGCAGCTGCTTGTACGTGGCACCGCGGGGTCACATAGAGATAGAGGGCTTGCCAGCAAGGGAACTCTGTCTGGAGATAGCTCTGGCTTAGTGAGAAGCTGAGAGCCTGGCTGCGCAGATGCAGCGGAATGGTTGTTCGGCCTCGCCTCCGCTGGGAACAACAGTCCATGCTTCTCTGCAGTGTCGGTCCGGTTCTTAAGAGCGAGAACGCCGGGACCTCGAGCTGCAGTTTCACCGTGAAGCAACCGCGTGAGATGCATTAGTGCGAGAAAAGCCGGAGCTGCGTACGAACCTGGAGTAGCAGTCTTTCATGCCTTATGTGTTTCACTTTGCGGCCTTGCATGCGCTGAGGGAATATGCCTCGAACAGAACATCCAGTGCTGAGTGGGGATTGCCAAACTTACGGAGGCTGATGCACAACAAGTGCCTTAACAGCAATGCATGCGGAGGGCAAAGTTCGGCCTTGCGAGTGCTGAGGGTTGCAGCTGAGAGAGGGTTTGGCTGAGAACGCAACACCTCAAGCGAGGTAATTTTTAGTTTAGTTTCACTTTGACCAACGGCTCGGGTGGCACGCGACGCAGCGTGCAGACGAAAGTTCCTGTTGGCTCAAGGTTTCGGCTCCACCCCGGTGGGGTGCTCAGGTAGGGAGTGCTGTTGCCTGGAGACTGTTCCTGAGGGTGGGCTCCAACAGGACTCGAATCGAAACTACTTGGTAATCGGCTGCAAGCAACATAGCTGCCTGAGTACGGCCTCGCCAAGTGCTTGAGGGAACTTTTTCGGCCTCGCTTCGGCAGAGGGTGTGTTTTCGACCTACGCTCTTTTGATATTCAAGGCTTATGCATTTACATGGAGCCTCAAATCAGACGTTCGCGGCCGAATACAGGTCGATCCACAAATAGTCCGCTTTGCTGGGGTACTGCGCACGGCTCAACAGTGCCTGCAGAAGCGGCTCCTTGCTTTGAACAGCTCGTAGCTTTTGTTCTTGCTGGCGGTGGGCACACTCGCGTGTCTTATTCCGCTGTTCGTCTTCGGTGCGCCTTTAGCACGGTCCTACGCAGTCAAGGCCGTTTGGCTCTCAACCCACAAGGGAATCTGGAGTTGAGGGATGATTCATGGGCAAAGGAACAGGAGGAGAAGCGCAAGGCCAAGGAGATCACCAAGAAGGAGTTGGATGAGGATGACGAGGAGGCCGCCCAGAAGGTCAAGAAGAAGGGGAAAGGCAACAGTGGCGAGGCTCAGCAAAAGCAGAAGGCAAAATCCAAGGCTAAGGCGAAGGCTGCCAGAAACCCGGATTGGCACGCGACGGGTGGCGTTTGGGCTCCCGGTGGCGGCTGGTCCTACTCCAAGGGCAAGAGCAAGGGCAAGGGCAAGAGCAAGAAGGGCTGGTGGTGACTAGGGATCGCTTGTGCTCGCTTCGGCAGAGGGAGTGGCCAGCTTCGGCCTCGCCCCGGCTGAGGACACATAAAGTTCGGCCTCACTGCGGTTGAGGGAATTTCCGGCCTCGCTTCGCTGAGGTGCTGGTGGGACTGGCATCAGGCGTGCAGCAGTCATGGGGAAACATTGTACTGTGTGTGCCCACTGTGGGCTGGGTCTGGAATGCAGAACTGTACTACAACCCGAACTGCTGGCATTGCGGAAAGGCGTGGAAAAAGACCAACCACCGCGAGAAGGCATGGCCAAGCCAGCGTAAGAGGTGGCAATGGCCCAAAGAAGACGCTGCATGGTGGACAAGACAGGCCAAGAACAAAGAAGGGATGGCCGACCAGGCCCTCACGAAGGCGTGGGGAACGCTTTCTATGGAGGCAAAGAAGGCCATCGAAGAAGCAGGATGGAAGCCGCAGACGATGGAGCCGGGGCCCATTTGGCCCCCGGGACTACCAGGCAGTGGATCGCAAGCCGAAAGCATGACGCAAAAGGAGTACCACGCGGCCATTGAAACGGTGTGGCAAGGAGCTGAGCCCGCAGTGCAAAGGCTGCTCAGAGCAGCGGGTATTCCCCCGCCAGGGGAATACAAGCCTGAGGACGAGACGCCAAAGCAGGAGCTCAGCCGCCATGTTGGTACATACAGAAGGACGACAAACAAGCTGAGATCACTCATTGAGAAGAAGGTCCGGCTTCAAGACAAAACGGAAAAGATCAAGAGCGAGTTCGAGCAGGCCATGAAGCAGCTTGCGCAAGTCAGCCAGGCCATCCAGGCCACGGAGCTTGAGGTTGCGGAAGCACAGAGGAAGGTACAAGCCTGTGTGAAAGATGAAGAGGACTCGCCGTACAAGGACGTCGCGTCATACCTGGATAAGGAAGGGATCATCCTGTCCGAGGAGCAAGCGGAGGCGCTCAAAACGAAGATGGCAGTCAAGGTCGTGGAGACAGACTGGAGTGGAGTCTTCGGACCAAGAGAGCCAGGCATGCCAGTCGAAATTGGCATGTATGGTCCGATGCGCATGTCTCGAGATGTGTCAGTCAGGGCAACGCCGACGGGGCGCGAACGCTCGCCGGCGCGTGCCCATGGCGAATGAAACCTCAGGCTGGGACAGGAGCGGAGGGGCCGACGCCTCAGAGCAGCTTCTGGTCCGAACAGCCTAAAGAAGAAAGGAAAACCCGAGGAGTCTCAATGGGGAGACTCTGTTTACACTTTTGGTGGTGGCCAGAAGCAGTGTCATGGGGACATTGTATGGCCACAGGCACATGGGGAAGGCAGTCAAGCTGTGTCTAGTACCCATGTGCCTAGTACAAACAGCACAGTGGAGGACAGCCAAGAGCGCTGGAGTCCAGTTACGAAAGGTCCTACTCCTGTCCGAGCTGTAGAAAGCAGTTGGGCGGTCACAGGGCCCAGATACTTCCATATGACAAGGGAAGACATCGAAGAGGAATGTGAGCATTCGGCCTCGCGAGAAGCTGAGGGAAGCCAAACACAGATGAGAGACCATGCAGCGGTTAGAGGGGAGAACATGAAGGCCTCGCAGCAAGCTGAGGAAATACGGTTTTCGGCCTCGCCGTGTGCTGAGGGTCGCAGAGGAAAACAAAAGCCCAAGAAGCGGAAAGCAAAACCCAAGGAACCACCAAAAGATCTGCCACAGGAGTGGCAAACGCTATGCCAAGTGGTGGGTAGATATGATGCTTCCAGTGAGGCTGCCGCACTCGAAGCCATTGAGAAGCTGGAAGAGCAGGAACTCAACCCGCTACAACAACGAGCATGCCACGAAGTGCTTCGTTCCTTTGTGGAGCAGGACGCACAATATGCCAAATGGATCTTGGAAGATGTGGCAAGTGGGTATCGCCAAGATGATAAGGCCGAGTGTATCAAAATCACAGCGGCTAACATCACCAGCTGGAGGAAACCCATAGCGGCATGGATACACGAACTAGGACCGGACCTGGTGGTGCTGCAGGAAACCCATCTCAAGACGGAGGGTATCCAGCAAGCCATGAGCCATTGCCAAGATATGGGATACACCTTCATTGGCATGCCTGGCAGTACAAAAATTAAGGGTGTACAAGGAGGCCTGGCAGTGGTGGCACCCCGACATAGGAACCTGCGATACCTTACCGAGTATGGTTCAGGACCGGCGGGCTTCCTGGCATGTGCCATGAGAAACAAAGGCTGGGATTTGATCATCGTCAGTCTGTATTTGGAGAGCGGGGTCGGATTCCAGGCTCCAAACAATATCCAAGTACTGGCGAGACTGATAGCCTTTCTCAAGGGCTGCAAAGTGCCATATATGGTGCTGGGTGATTGGAATGAAGCCCAGGATACCATGAGGGGCACAACTCTGGCGACAGAAGTTGGTGGTGCACTTGTGGGAGTGGGGGAACCAACGGCCCAAGGATCGGACGAAATCGATTATGGGCTGGTTGCGAAATGCTTGGTGCCCATCCTGCAAGTGAAAACGGATTGGGAAACCCCTTTTCGGCCTCATGCTGCGATGCATTGGAGGATAGCCCAACCGTGCAGTAGCCCTGATGTTCCCCAAATGAAGAAGGCGGGAGCACTGGTAACGGAAACCGTGGAATACACACCGGTTAAAAACACACAGACCATCCACATCTTGGATGAACCCAGGATGGAAGATGAACTCAGTGAGAAATTCGCTCACCTGAGTGCAAGTGTGGAGAGGTCGATCACAGGACGAATCGACGGTATGGGTGTCAAAGCAGAAATCGTCCGGAAGAAATTGGTGGTCCACAACCCGGAGAACGTTGTCTGGACAGGCAAGAGGGCAGCTTTTTGGAACCGTGTCCAACAATGGGTCAAGCAAGGCAGACATCATGGAGACGCGCATCCGGTGGCGCGCCTAGTCCAAAGTAGACTCAACGTGTACTATGAGGGCGATGCGCAGAGCCGGGAGGATATGCTTGTGAGTATCCTGGGACGAGGCACAGACGCCAGACTTGTCCTAAAGCGCATTGATGAACAGCAATGCTACGCGAGAAAGGCAGACATAGAGGAGACGGCCCACCAGTACAAGCAATGGCTCAGCAAGGCCATGGAAAAGGGCATGCGACCGCTGTACAATGCCTTGCGGAAAGACGAAAAAGTGGTACAGAGACCCTACATGGAATATGACATGCTGGAACGGCCACACATTCGACGTGACCACTGGGCGGCGGTGTGGACGAAGGGCACACCGATGGCACAAACGGCCTCGCTCATGCTGGAGCTTGAGGATGCAGCCAAAAAACAGGCGGCCAGCGTGGAGCCGCTGAATCCTGAAGAGGTCAAGGCAAGGATCAAGAAATTGGCCCTAAAGAGCCCGGGGCCGGATGGATGGCGGATCGACCATTTGCAGGCCATGGACGACAAAGCGGTCGAAGCAGTAGTGGCTTTCTACCGTGAGTGTGAGGCCAAAGCAACATGGCCGAAACAAATGACAGTCTCACTTATTGCAATGCTGCCTAAGAATCTGACCCGGGAGAGACCAATCGCCTTGTTGCACATCCTGTACCGAACCTGGGTCCGATTGCGATGGGATTTGGTAAGTACTTGGCAGGTGAGTTACGCAAAAAATGCCAAGTACGACAAGGCGGTCCCAGGCAGTTGCTGCCTGGACGTGGCTGTAGGCAGACTGTTGCGAAACGAGGTGGCGAAGACAAATGGTGTGCATGTGGTGTCGCTATTTGTGGACCTTGAGTCCTTTTTCGATACCATCCAGTTTCAGCAACTGATAGCGGCAGCAACGGACCTGCAATATCCACCGCTAATCCTGAAAATGGCACTGGAAGTGTACATGGGTGCCAGATACTTGGCAGCAGATGGGGTGCTATCGGCAGGCATCAGAGCTACGAATGGAGTGCAAGCGGGGTGCCCTGCGGCGCCGTCATTAGCGAAAGTGGCATTGCATCAGACGATTGACAAGATCCAAAAGCGCAAAGATGTGGCAAATGTGGACTGCTGGTTGGATGATGTCTCAATTGACGTCCAGCATAAATCCTTCAAACAAGCGGCAGACAGTGCGATCCGAGTCTACCGCAGCTTAAAGGACGGGATGGACGCAAATGGGTTCACGATTTCATCCAAGAAGACAGGGTTTGTAGCCAGCAGTACCCAGGCGAGCAAGCACCTGCGAGAACTACTGTTACCGCATGAGCCACAAGTGTACGACGTGATGCGGGACTTGGGCGTCGACAGTACCGGTGGGCGAAAGCGTCGTTTGGTGACGTCGGCCACACGGGCAAAAAAAGCACATGCCCGACAGAGCAAGCTGTCCAGGCTGGGGCCGCCGCCCAGCACTAAACTCCGCGTAGTCAAGGCCGCGATCACATCCGTTGCTTTGTGGGGGCACCCATCCGTGGGGGTATCGCCCAAAAGAATGAAGTGGCTCCGAACAGTGGTGGGCAAACACCTGGGCAAATACAAGCTTGGTAGTTTGGAAACCATACTGGATATGGGAGCCAAGAAATGTCAGGACCCGAAGCGCACAATCCACAAGCAGCATTTCAAGGTGGTGGCAAAAGTTTTCAGCGCATGGATTGGTGGAGGCAAAGCCCACTTTGAATTGGCCTGGAAAGCCACTTGGAGGAGGTTAAGTGCGGCCAAACACCACTGGCCACTGGTCACGGGACCGATGGCAGCAACCATGGCGTACTTAATGGATTTGAAGGTGGATGCAAGTGACCCGGGCAAATGGAAGAGAGGAAATGTCCTCAACGTCGATTGGACCCAGCCACGCATGGGTGGCCTCGCCTACAAATGGCTTGAGGGATTCCTCGAGGAACAAAAAAGGGCTGCAATAACGCGACAAGCAGGTGGAAAGGGGGCCCAGGAGGGGCTGGATTGGACGCCGCATCACAAGCTGACGAAGCTGGGAGGCTTAAGCCCGGGCCTTATGGAAGGGATGAAGTCAGTGTGGCATGCGGGCGTTATCACGGAGTCCAAGCCTGGCTGGTGCAAGAAGTGCCAAGTGCCAGCCACTCTGGAGCATGTCCTCAAAGAATGCCCTTACTGGCGAGACCAAGGGTTCAAAGAACCCAAGCTCCAGGAATACCTGCGCCACAAATACCCATGGGAGTGCCTGTGGACAAGGGCACTCCTGCCCAAGCCGGCGGTGTGGCACCCCAAGCCGCCGGAGCATCTTTTGGGACTGCGCTACCAAGGATGCTTTGCAGCAGACGCTACAGTGGAAGCAGAAGGCTTGATCTTCGCCACTGACGCCAGCGGAGGTCCAGGAGGAATAGACCCACGTGTACAAACATCAGCCCTCGCAGTGGTGGCTATGACCTGGAAAGATGGTGAGTTGGTGAAAGTCGGACAAATTACGGAGCTGGTCTACCCGTGGCAGCCGGTAGTGGACATGGAGCGCCGTGCACTTTTCAGACTAATGGAGCACACGGAGGATCTGATTGACGTCACAATGGACTGCAAGCCGGCAGTCCAAGCGCTACAAAAAATACAACCGCCGGACGATGACCTGGAATGGAGCAAAGTGTGGAATGGAAAGAAACGAATCAAAGCAACATGGGTCCCGTCCCACAAAACAGAAGAAGCATTCCTGGAAAAAATGGGCCCGGGCACGTTGTGGAGACGTGCAGCGAACGACATGGCGGACAAAGTATGTGGCGAAGTAGCGGCGGCTGCTTACAGCCCAGCGCACAAGAGGCGTGTCAAAGAGCTGGACAACGTGGTGCGTACACTTTCACTGGCTTACGGAGAACGCGCAGCCCACATATTGCGGAGGCGCAACGAAGCAGATTTCCCCTTCATCCTGGACCATGCGCATTACAAGGAGAAGATGGAAGCCTCGCAGAAAGCTGAGGGATGCAGAAAAGAGCATGGCAGGGCCAAACTCAACAAACGCCAGCGGCTTTGGCAGTTGCTCGAAAACCCGGAGCGAGGGCACCAATGGGAGAAGGGCAGTGAACACCCCCGGAATTTAACACTGAAATGCCAACTGTGCGGTTTGTATGTACAACAAACCCTCACGAACTTGGAGGTGGTGTTGGAGCAGTACTGCGTCAACCAGCCGGAGGCGCGAGTGCGGGAAGAGTGGGGTATCCACCCCTCCCATAATATGGTGAATTTGGGAATCCGATGGGTTTGCACAAAGTGTGACAGAACACATGCACCGGTCAGCCAGAAGTGCAATAAAAGCCTGGCGGGTGAGTGCAAATCGCGAACTTCTCAGGGCAAGCTGGCAACCCAAGCGCAAACCCTTGTCAACGGTGGAAATATGAGCAGCGTCCAGTTTCAACAGCCTCGCGTTCAGTTTGGTGGGAAACACGCCAAAGCTAAGCCCCAAGCCAGTGCACAGCAAAAGATGTCATTGTTTGTTAGGCCTCGCCAAGCTGAGGGAACGCAGTAATTCCGTAGCCGTTTGGTGCAAGGAGACAGGGTTTTCGGCCTCGTAGCTGAGGGTGAGGGCCTCGCAACGGGGAATAGCGATTGGTGTTAAGGCCTCGCCTTGCTGAGGGAGTGTAATTCGGCCTCGCGGTGCCGCGTGCTTGCGACATCGCTGAGGGTAAAGAGAGAGGCCTCGGCCTCGCAGAGCTGAGGGTGGAACAACGGCGTCCTCATCCTCACAAGACCGGCCGGAGGACGAGCAGCCGGAGAAATTGACCCTCCAGGTGCGAATCAAACTTGAGGATTCGTGGAAACCAATTTTGGAGGAGCAGTTCCTGGAAACAGACCCCAGGAGGGCAAACTACACTCACCTACAAGCGGCGTGTCGCAGCCTCGCTCGCTGCCGCACAAGGAACGATTGGGTCTACCAAGCGGAGACCTACCTCAGTGAAGAGCGGAAGCAGCTGTGGGCTTCTAAATTGCACAAGGCGGGTCTGTAGAAATGAGGCAATGGAAGACGGATGCGACGATGAGGAGACAAGGGTCCCGACTGCCATCCTGGCTAAGGAATCGGCCGGACAAAGGCAAGGGTAAAAGCAAGAACAAGCAGCAGGATCAGCCCCGAGACCGTTCCCCGCTTCGACAGGCCAGACACCCGGAGCAGACTTGGGATAGGGATGAGGAGAGTGCTTCAGAATCTCCGGTGGGTCCGGTACGCCTACGGGAGAGAGGAGAAGACAGTGCGGCCTCGCACCAAGCTGAGGGTGTCAATGAAGAGCAAGAGGCAAGCCAGCCTCGCACAGTCACGCTGGCGGAAGGACCAGGTGCCCACAATATGGCCTCGCACGAAGCTGAGGGACAGGAGCAAAAGGAGGCAATGGGGCAAGTCAGGCCTGTGCACCTTTTGGTGCATAAGCTGCAGAACCAGCAGAGGCCAAGGACAGCGCTCCACTGGCTTGGGGAGGTCCAATTGGTCCGCAACCCAACGAAAGGGCAAAGCTTACAGCCTAGGGTGCTTCCCTTTATAGGTGCGGGGCGCACTCGACGAGGATATGCTCTGGATCGGCTATGGGTCATGAAACTAGCGATGGAACCCCAGAGCTTTGGCAACGAAGCAGGGTACGGGGAACAATTCCCCACCCTGGTCACCAGGACCCTGTGGGCAGGATGGATCGGAGTCCTTTTCGACGAGGCGGTGGAGGGGTACTGCCACCACTACTTCTATGGAAGTATCATCCGCAGGGCAGAGCTGTTCAACACATGGTGGCAGGAACATCGCCAAGAAGCCGGGGTCCTCAGACAGTCCCTGTTTTACCTGGTGGCTATAACGTCATGGCTGACCACGCAAGGAGTTGCTCTATCGGATATCACGGTAAGCAACGTTGGGCGCGACCCGATGTCAGGATCGCTACCACGGGCAGTGTTCTTTGACACGGCAGAGTGGTCGACGCTGCAGGAGGAGAGATACAAGTTATCAAGCGGCCTCGTACGCCTCCTGGAGAAATATGACGAGGAGCTACTGGCAACCATACGTGGATTGGTCAGAACGTACGACGGCAAAGCCAGCGCGCTTTGGATGGCGTGCGTAGGCAATGTCCAGCACCTACTGGATGCCGGGATTGCAAAACGAGGATGGGATGGAACCCTACTTCCGGTCCCGGCAACAGAGATCCAGAAAATCACGTTGGGCATGCCATATGACGAAGCTGATGAGTGAGCAGCGCAGCCCAGACAAGAAACATGGCTAGTGGTCTGAGAGGCACCCAAACCGAATCAAGGAATACCGCCTCGGCGTGCTGCCTGAGGGAGTTTCGGCCTCGACTCCGGTCTGAGGGGTGCAAGTGAGGGAAATTCGGCCTCGGCATGACCTGAGGGAATTTCGGCCTCGACCACGGTCTGAGGGAATGGATTTCGGCCTCGACAAATGTCTGAGGGAAGTGAGGGCTAGTACCGGTAGTCTCACTGTGCAGAGTTTGTAAGTTTCACCCTGATACCCCAGCCCCTTCGGGTGGCTACGCCAAGCAGCGTGCAGACGTAAAATTCACCTGTTTCACCCCACAGTTTTAGTAAGCTTTTGTTTCACTTGAACCCACAGCCCCTTCGGGTGGCTACGCCTCGCAGCGTGCAGACGTGAAAGTTCCTGTTGTTTGGCTCAAGGTTTCGGCTCAACCCCGGTGGGGTGCTCAGGTAGAGAGCGTCTTTAGTGCCGTTGTGGCTGGCCCTGGGGCTTGTAACTAAGGGTAGGTTCCGTTTTGAGGCCCTGGCAAAACTGTGTTTGCTCGTAGGCCGGCTGACCGGCTAAGCTGTCATAGAGCGGCGGCCCGCCAACTGCTGCCGACGACGAAGGACGTTCGAGTGCACAGTCTTCGGCCTCGCTTCGCTAGAGGGAAGCTTTTCGTCCTCGCGTTGCTGAGGGAACCTTGTGGCCTGCAGTCTGCTCTGGGTCACAGTGAGAGTTGCAGCCTCGATTTGCTTGAGGGGTGACGCTAGAGCCTGTTGCTCACCAGAGATTCCTGCTGTCTCTGGGTGAACAAAACCCGCCGACCCTCACTTGGATTGAGGGCTGTGTGTTAGGGTGAGTTTGGGTTCCTCGCTCGCTTGTGTGGAAAACGAAGGTGAGACCGAAACACGGGGGAAAACGGCCAAGGCACGTTGCAGACAGTGCAGGCCAACGTCGCACTGCAAGCGGCATCCTTGCAGTTGTGACAGGAGTGTCCCGAACAATAGCGGTGTGCTTGAGCCCGAGTTTGCTGGTTTTCGGGGATCTGCAAGCTGAGCACAACAGGATATTCTTCGCAGGTAGAATCAGGTAGAACAGATCGGCCCAACCCTGGTGGATCTGCCTGGACACACATAACAGAGGCACCAGTGTCGCAAAGCTCATTGACTGGCGCTACTGAGACGCCGTTGCCAAAGAACTTGCAGTAGGACTGTGGTGCGGCACAGTGCAAGTTGAAGAGCAGCTGTTGGTGGCTGCTCCCCGGTAGACAAATAGTCCAAGAAAGCCTTCCTCGGCCTCGCTCCGTGCTGAGGGTTTGTTAGGGCTGGTATTGGCCGGACATGGTTCAGATGGAGGTTACCCGAACTTCTCGCTTTCCCATCTGAAGGCAACCAATGGTTATCAGCCTGCTGGACATGGCAGGCCTCCTTTTTGTTTTACATCCACGTCTCCTGCAAGGGCTGGGGTTTGTCCGTGCACACAGACAAGGCGAACCTTGCAGATGTATGAGGTTATTGAAAAATGTTGGCTCTCACTGTATGGTGAATGGTTTGTATGGGCACTTGCTGGGGCAAGGCGGCTCTGGCTTCTGGGGATGGTGCATGTGCTGGCTGCTGCGGTAAGGAAACGGGGACGTAGAAGGGAGCCGGACATGCTTGCCTCCGTCTAGCACGTGGACGCCGAGCAGAGTATGTGACACTATCTTCAGCTGCTGGAGCCAAATTGCCTCGCCGTGTGACGTGGATGTGGTGGTTAGTCGTGGCCTCATGCACTGGAAGGCCTACCACAACAAATCCGAATGGAAACTGTGGTCCTAAGACACGCGGAGCAGCAGCGTATACGTGGCGCCGCGGGGGGCACATAGAGATAGAGGGCTTGGCAAGGGAACTCTGTCTAGAAATAGCCCTGGCTCCGTGAGGAGCTGAGGGCCTGGCTGCGCTGATGCAGCGGAATGGTTGTTCGGCCTCGCCTCCGCTGAGGGAACAACAGTCAATGCTTCTCTGCAGTGTCGGTCCGGGTTAGTAAGAGCGAGAACGCCGGGACCTCGAGCTGCAGTTTTACCATGAAGCAACCGCGTGAGATGCATTATTGGTCGACTGGTGAGTAAGAGCGAGAAAGCCAGGGCGACGCTACTTTGGGGGAGGCTGCAAGGCACGGTTAGTAAGCGCGAGAAAGCCGGAGCTGCGGACGAACCTGGAGTAGCAGTCTTTCATACCTCACGTGTTTCACTTTGCGGCCTCGCATGCGCTGAGGGCATATGCCTCGAACAGAACATCCAGTGCTGAGTGCGGATTGCCAAACTTACGGAGGCTGATGCCACAACAAGTGCCAACAGCAATGCATGCGGAGGGCAAAGTTCGGCCTCGCGAGTGCTGAGGGTTGCAGCTGAGAGAGGGCCTAGCTGAGAACGCAACACCTCAAGCGAGGTAATTTTTTAGTTTAGTTTCACCTTGACCAACGGCCCCTTCGGGTGGCTACGCGACGCAGCGTGCAGACCTTTTGTTCCTGTTGTTTATTGGTGCATAAACAGCAAAACCAGCAGCGGCCAAGGACAACGCTCCATTGGCTCGGGGAGGTCCAAATGGTAAGCAACCCAACTACGGGGCAAAGCTTACAGCAGCCTAGGGCACTTCCCTTTATAGGAGCTGGGCGTACTCGAAGAGGATATGCTCTGGATCGGCTATGGGTCATGAAACTAGCGGCCGAACCCCAGAGTTTTGGCAACGAAGCAGGGTATGGGGAAAAATTCCCCACCCTGGTCACCAGGACCCTATGGGCCGGATGGATTGGAGTCCTTTTCGACGAGGCGGTGGAGGGTCACTGCCACCACTACCTTTATGGAAGTATCATCCGCAGAGCAGAACTGTTCAATCCGTGGCTGCAAGAGCACCGCCATGAAACCGGGGTACTTAAACAGTCCCTGTTTTACCTGGTTGCGCTGACGTCCTGGTTGGCCATGCAACATATTGCTCTATCGGATATTACGGTAAGCAACGTTGGGCGAGACCCGCTGTCAAGGGAGATACCACGAGTGGTGTTCTTTGATACGGCAGAGTGGTCGACGACGCAAACCGAGAAGTACAAGATTCCCTGTGGCCTCGTACGCCTCCTGGAGAAATATGACGTGGAGCTGCTGGAAACCATACGGGGATTGGTCAGAACGTACGACGGAAAGGCCAGCGCGCTTTGGATGGCATGCGTGGGCAATGTCGGGCCATTTGCCCAGCACCTACTTGATGCCGGGATTGCAAAACGAGGATGGGACGGAACCCTGCTTGCAGTGCCGGCAGAAGAGGTCCAGAAAATCACTTTGGGCATGCCGTATGATGAAGCTGATGAGTGAGCAGTACAGCTCCAGACAGGAAACACGGCCGGTGGTCTGAAGGCACCAGAACAACTCAAGGGGCTACTCGCCTCGGCGTGATGGCATGAGGGAGTTTTCGGCCTCGACTACGGTCTGAGGGGTGCTGAAAATGAGGGAAATTCGGCCTCGGCATGACCTGAGGGAATTTCGGCCTCGACCACGGTCTGAGGGAATGGATTTCGGCCTCGACAAATGTCTGAGGGAAAGTGAGGGCTAGTACCGGTAGTCTCACTGTGCAGAGTTTGTATGTTTCACCCTCTTACCTAAGCCCACGCCTTGCAGCGTGCAGACGAAAGTTCCTGTTGTTTATTGGTGCATAAACAGCAAAACCAGCAGCGGCCAAGGACAACGCTCCATTGGCTCGGGGAGGTCCAAATGGTAAGCAACCCAACTACGGGGCAAAGCTTACAGCAGCCTAGGGCACTTCCCTTTATAGGAGCTGGGCGTACTCGAAGAGGATATGCTCTGGATCGGCTATGGGTCATGAAACTAGCGGCCGAACCCCAGAGTTTTGGCAACGAAGCAGGGTATGGGGAAAAATTCCCCACCCTGGTCACCAGGACCCTATGGGCCGGATGGATTGGAGTCCTTTTCGACGAGGCGGTGGAGGGTCACTGCCACCACTACCTTTATGGAAGTATCATCCGCAGAGCAGAACTGTTCAATCCGTGGCTGCAAGAGCACCGCCATGAAACCGGGGTACTTAAACAGTCCCTGTTTTACCTGGTTGCGCTGACGTCCTGGTTGGCCATGCAACATATTGCTCTATCGGATATTACGGTAAGCAACGTTGGGCGAGACCCGCTGTCAAGGGAGATACCACGAGTGGTGTTCTTTGATACGGCAGAGTGGTCGACGACGCAAACCGAGAAGTACAAGATTCCCTGTGGCCTCGTACGCCTCCTGGAGAAATATGACGTGGAGCTGCTGGAAACCATACGGGGATTGGTCAGAACGTACGACGGAAAGGCCAGCGCGCTTTGGATGGCATGCGTGGGCAATGTCGGGCCATTTGCCCAGCACCTACTTGATGCCGGGATTGCAAAACGAGGATGGGACGGAACCCTGCTTGCAGTGCCGGCAGAAGAGGTCCAGAAAATCACTTTGGGCATGCCGTATGATGAAGCTGATGAGTGAGCAGTACAGCTCCAGACAGGAAACACGGCCGGTGGTCTGAAGGCACCAGAACAACTCAAGGGGCTACTCGCCTCGGCGTGATGGCATGAGGGAGTTTTCGGCCTCGACTACGGTCTGAGGGGTGCTGAAAATGAGGGAAATTCGGCCTCGGCATGACCTGAGGGAATTTCGGCCTCGACCACGGTCTGAGGGAATGGATTTCGGCCTCGACAAATGTCTGAGGGAAAGTGAGGGCTAGTACCGGTAGTCTCACTGTGCAGAGTTTGTATGTTTCACCCTCTTACCTAAGCCCCTTCGGGTGGCTACGCCTTGCAGCGTGCAGACGAAAGTTCCTGTTGGCTCAAGTCTCGGCTCAACCCCGGTGGGGCGCGCAGGTAGTGAGCTGTTCGGTGGCCTGGAGGCTGTACCTAAGGGTGGGCTCCAACAGGACTCAAACCGAAACCACTGTGTTTGCTCGGTAGTTCTGCCAGCCACATAGCTGCCTGTGTACGGCCTC